TTCTATTCTATCCTCATTACTATACGGATCACCATTTCTATTCTATCCTCTATTACTATACGGATCACCATTTCTATTCTATCCTCTATTACTATACGGATCACCATTTCTATTCTATCCTCTATTACTATACGGATCACCATTTCTATTCTATCTATTACTATACGGATCACCATTTTATTCTATCCTCTATTACTATACGGATCACCATTTCTATTCTATCCTCTATTACTATACGGATCACCATTTCTATTCTATCCTCTATTACTATACGGATCACCATTTCTATTCTATCCTCTATTACTATACGGATCACCATTTCTATTCTATCCTCTATTACTATACGGATCACCATTTCTATTCTATCCTCTATTACTATACGGATCACCATTTCTATTCTATCCTCTATTACTATACGGATCACCATTTCTATTCTATCTTCTATTACTATACGGATCACCATTTCTATTCTATCCTCTATTACTATACGGATCACCATTTTCTATTCTATCTTTTATTACTATACGGATCACCATTTCTATTCTATCCTCTATTACTATACGGATCACCATTTCTATTCTATCCTCTATTACTATACGGATATTTCTATTCTATCTCTATTCATACGGATCACCATTTCTATTCTATCCTCTATTACTATACGGATCACCATTTCTATTCTATCCTCTATTTACGGATCACCATTTCTATTCCTCTATTACTATACGGATCACCATTTCTATTCTATCCTTTATTACTATACGGATCACCATATCTATTGCTTCTTCTTCCTATTCTATTCTATTCTATTACTATACGGATCACCATTTCTATTTTCTATTCTATTACTATACGGATCACCATTTCTATTATCTTCTATTACTATACGGATCACCATTTCTATTCTATCCTCGGATCACCATTATTCTATATACGGATCACCATTTCTATTCTATCCTCTATTACTATACGGATCACCATTTCTATTATTCCATCCTCTATTACTATACGGATCACCATTTCTATTCTATCTTTTATTACTATAGGGATCACCATTTCTATTCTATCCTCTATTACTATACGGATTGCCATTTCTATTCTATCTTCTATTACTATAGGGATCACCATTTCTATTCTATCCTCTATTACTATACGGATTCATCCTCCATTTCCATTTCATTCTATCCTCTATTACTATACGGATCACCATTTCTATTCTATCTTTTCTATTACTATACGGATCACCATTTCTATTCTATCTTTCTATTACTATACGGATCACCCTATTTATCTTCTATTACTATACGGATCACCATTTCTATTTATCCTATTATACGGATCACATTTTCTATTCTATTCTATCTATACGGATCACCATTTCTATTATTACTATACGGATCACCATTTCTATTCTATCCTCTATTACTATACGGATCACCATTTCTATTCTATCTTCTATTACTATTCACCATTTATATTCTATCCTCTATTACTATACGGATCACCATTTCTATTCTATCTTCTATTACTATACGGATCACCATTTCTATTCTATCTATTCTATTACTATACGGATCACTATTCTATTTCTATTCTATCATTTCTATTTATCTTCTATACGGATCACCATTATATTCTATTCTATTACTATACGGATCACCATTTCTATTCTATCTTCTATTACTATACGGATCACCATTTCTATTCTATCTTCTATTACTATACGGATCACCATTTCTATTCTATCTATTACTATACGGATCACCATTTCTATTCTATCTATTACTATACGGATCACCATTTCTATTCTATCCTTTATTACTATACGGATCACCATTTCTATTCTATCTTCTATTACTATACGGATCACCATTTCTATTCTATCATTTCTATCCTCTATTATTATACGGATCACCATTTCTATTCTATCCTCTATTACTATACGGATCACCATTTCTATTCTATCCTCTATTACTATACGGATCACCAATCTTCTATTTATACGGATCACCATTTCTATTCTATCCTCTATTACTATACGGATCACCATTTCTATTCTATCTTCTATTACTATACGGATCACCATTTCTATTCTATCCTCTATTACTATACGGATCACCATTTCTATTCTATCTTCTATTACTATACGGATCACCATTTCTATTCTATCCTCTATTACTATACGGATCACCATTTCTATTCTATCTTCTATTACTATACGGATCACCATTTCTATTCTATCTCTATTACTATACGGATCACCATTTCTATTCTATCCTCTATTACTATACGGATCACCATTTCTATTCTATCTCTATTACTATACGGATCACCATTTCTATTCTATCTCTATTACTATACGGATCACCATTTCTATTACGGATTACTCACGGATCACCATTTCTATTCTATCTTCTATTACTATACGGATCACTATTTCTATTCTATCTTTTATTACTATACGGATCACCATTTCTATTCTATCTTCTATTACTATACGGATCACCATTTCTATTCTAATTACTATACGGATCACTATTTCTATTCTATCTTCTATTACTATACAGATCACCATTTCTATTCTATCCTCTATTACGGATCACCATTTTATTCTATCTTCTATTACTATACGGATCACCATTTCTATTCTATCCTCTATTACTATACGGATCACCATTTCTATTTTCTATTATTACTATATTTTATTCTATCTACTATACGGATCACCATTTCTATTCTATTACTCATTTCTATTACTATACGGATCACCTATTTCTATTCTAATTACTATACGGATCACCATTTCTATTCTATCTTCTATTACTATACGGATCACCATTTCTATTCTATCCTCTATTACTATTTTTCTATTCTATCCTCTATTACTATACGGATCACCATTTCTATTCTATCTTTTATTACTACGGATCACCATTTCTATTCTATCTTCTATTACTATACGGATCACCATTTCTATTCTATCTTCTATTACTATTTGGATCACCATTTCTATTCTATCTTCTATTACTATACGGATCACCATCTATTCTCTTCTATTCTACGGATCACCATTTCTATTCTATTTCTATTACTGTACGGATCACCATTTCTATTCTATCCTCTATTACTATACGGATCACCATTTCTATTCTATCCTCTATTACTATTCGGATCACTATTCTCTGTTCTATTCACTATACTATTTCTCTATTCAGATCACTATACGGTGGTTACTATTCGAGCAAGTACTATTAGTGCGTCTGTTATTCGAAGGCGTCTAACACCAACATTGTTCAACGGCTTACTATAGTTGTATCTGCGATTAAAAAGTCTCTACTACAACGAGCATTACGAGTATTCGTTGTCATCACAAAAGTCTCAACCGCGTGTTCGTTGACATCACAACGTTTTGTTTGTTATTATAAATATTCTGTAAGAAATATCGCTATTTTGCTATTTATTGTGAACCAAATTAGAACGTATATATATATATATATATATATGTATATTAAGCTTTTCACCCCAAGCAAGTCGGGAATGCCACTAGCACGCAAGGGGTTACAGAGAGTGGGAGCAAGAGTAAAGAGGCGTGAAAGAGGAAAGGATGAAGAGAAGGACTGGGAATTAAATCAAGGCATCTGAAGACGTCGATTGACATTGCATTTGAATAATTGAAGATTATACCTATCAGGGAAGCAAGTAAGAAGAAGGGAGTTCCACAGGCGAGAAGTGCGAGACATGAAACTATTGGAGTAGAAGAGACGGCGACATTTAACCGTTTAGACAGTGAAAGGGTGGGAGTGAGATGTTAGCTTAGTAACACGCTTAAATCCATGCAGTTTGGGAACCAGCGAAAGTAGCTGGTTGGAGCAGTTACCATGAAAGTATTAGTGGCTTTATTGCCTTGCTTTAGGTGAAATGATTAAAAAAAATGACCTATCCCCAAACGAAATAAATTATTCTGGACTCAAATCAAATTTTAAAAGAAGACTCATTTCGACATTAAATAACATGAACAAGTTTTGAAATGTCGCTCAATCAACCAACTCAACACTAAGTTCAAAGCATTTTTAGTACTTGTCCTCATCTGCTTCTCCTCTAACAAATGATCTCTCTCATTAGAATGCAGCTCCATCGTAATTTCTTCTCCAAATATTATCTCATTGCAAGTGTCCGCATCCCACCGTCCGTGACGATTAGATTAACAGCTAATCTTATCTTCAATTACTTTCGATGGATCCTTGTTTCTCCTGCATCATGATTTCTATCAGACCCTAAAGCAGCGCTTCTCAAAGTTGAATCCATTATATTCACTTACGAAGATGAAGATGATGAGACCAAGTGGAAATTTATAAACGACTCGTTTCGCTGAGTGCGTCTGCTCTCTTTGGCTTCATCTGGTTAAAATGAAAGAAAAACCAAACTGTAAAAAAGAAATGCGTCGGGAACTCTGATAAGTGGCGGCCATAAATCAATTTAAATTAGACTGTCTTATCACATGCAATGTGCAGACACAAGAGAATGTCTGTCAACTTGTTCATATATATATATATATATATATATATATAACATAATGTAAAGGCTCAAACACTAATATTCTATTTCTGCTATTTAAACCTATTTTTACACTTTCATAGCGTTTTGACCTTAGTTTGATCAGAGGCCTTGCTGTCGGATATAGTTTATCATCATACCCAGGACGGAATGAATGAGGTGGGTGATATTATTGAAAGAGGAGGTTGTAAGAAGTGGAGATTATGAAGATAATGAGGATAGATAATGATTAATCCTCGACTTGAAGAGGTTAAGCTTGTAATGTAGAGAGTTACTGCCAAAATGGTTATCGGGAATGAGGTGTGCGATATCTTGATACTTTGCTTAGCTTTTGGAAGGCATCTTTCTTTCAAAATGTTAATTCGTCGTTTCTTTTGTATCCTTAACAGGCCTCAAGCCCGGCGTGCACTGAACTTGAAACCATTGTCATGGATTGGTTGGGCAAGATGATCGGACTCCCCTCTGACTTTCTCCACCGGAAACAAACAAATAACGGTGGTGGGGTCATCCAGGTAAACTACATAAACTTCTATGTTTCAAAGTAGTCATTTGAATCCCGTAATTTTTCTTCTCTTTTTTTCTTCTCGTACATTTACGCGTTCTTCTCTCGATCAATTCTCGTGAGATATGTCTTTATTTTCTCGTACACTTTCTCTTACGCTTTCTCGTTCGTTTCTCCTACGCATTCTCGTTTTTTTCTTGTACCTTTTCTCGTCTTTATCTCGCACGCTTTCTCGTTTGTTTCTCGTACGCTTTCTCGTTCGTTTCTCGTACGCATTCTCGTTCTTTCTTGTGCTATTTCTCGCTTTTTCTCGTACAGTTTCTCTTTCTTTTTCAGACATCGTTTTTAAATCGTGCTCCTGAAACTTTTCATCTTTAGAGATGATTTTCTTTTTAATTTCCATTATTTTTCGTATATCTCGACATTTTCATCTCTCGCTTTCTCCTTCTATCTATCTATCTATCTATCTATCTATCTATCTCTCTTTCTTTTTTCTCTTTCTTAATGGCCTTCTTCTTTATCCCTCATTCTCTCCTCCTTTCTCTTTCTCTTTCCCTATCTCTTTTTCTTTTCTCTCCTTCTCTTTCCCTCCGTTTTTCGTTCTCCGTAGCTCTCAGTCCCTTTCAATCATTCTCGTTCTTCTTTCCTCTTCTCAATTTCTCTATCTGTTTCCTCTCTTTCTTTCTTTCTTTCTTTCTTTCTTTCTTTCTTTCTTTTTTTCTCTTTCTCTCTCTCTCTCTCTCTCTCTCTCTCTCTGTTAACAATTCTTCCCCGCACCTCACATAAATTATAGACTCTATCTTTAAAAAAAAGCGTCTAACCCTATTAAAGAAAAGCAGATCCCCTGTTGTGAATTCTACGAATCAATTTTAAATGGATTATTTTTTACTCATCATTATCATCATCAGTGCCTTGAGTGATTCAATCGTCGGGAGTACCCTATGGGACAGAAAGCAGACTACCTCCTCCAGGATGATCTGTTGGCGGTGGCTCTCAGGAGTTAGGGCATTCTTATGTCAGTCCACTCTGATGTTGTCTGACCAGCTTTTGCGTTGCTCCTCCCGATTGCGTCCGCCTTCAACAGTGACTTTCATGATAATCTTGCAGAGGCGTTTATGCCGTGTGACGCGGCAAAACCATGACATCTTCCGACGCTTAATAGTGGTAATGAAAGATTCCTGACGGCCCACGGGACTTTGCTCCGTTCCTAGTCATTGATTTTGTACTCCCAGTAGGAGATGAAGAGGACCTTACTCAAGCATTTGTTATTGAATACCTGGACCCTTAAGTTGTCGAGGGACCTCAGGGTAGAAGAAACAGATAAACTCCTCCAGGATGATCTGTTGGCGGTGGCTCTCAAGGGTTAAGGCATTCTCATGTCAGTCCACTCTTTGATGTCGTCTGACCAGCTCTTGCGTTGGCCTCCCCACCCCCCGCTTGCGTCGGCCTTCAACCGTTCCTTTCATGATGGTCTTAAAGAGGCAGTTCTACCGTGTGATGCAGTCAAACCATCTTCTGACGCTTAATAGTGACAAGGAAAGATTCCTGACGGACCTCGGGACTTTTGACCTTGCTCCGTTCATAGTCATTGGTTTTATACTCCCAGCAGGAGATGAAGAGGACCTTTCTCAAGCATCTGTTCTTGAATACCTAGATCCTTTTTTTTCCTTTCCCAGCCAGGAGTGTCCAAGTCTCACAAGAGAAGGATGGATACGACCATCAATTTGGAGAGCTTGAATTTGGTATGGAAGCTGATGTCGATCATCCATATCCTTTCCAATCTTGCCATCGCTGTTGTGACTGCTGCAAAAGCGTTGCATGTGTCATCTTTTGACAGTCTTGTTCCCAAGTGTTTGAAGCTGAACACTTCCTTCAGTGGTTCACCCCCCATGATGCCGACGGCAATGGTGTTGTCTGTGCCATTAACCATTACTCTACGTTGATTTCCATTCCATATGTGTCGGAACTTTCAAGGAGTTTGTTAGTCAGATTTTGTAGGTTAGGTCTATTATAATAGTAAAAGTCAAATCTTTATATATATATATATATATATATATATATATATATATATATTAAGAAATGGACAAAGTCCGACAATTTATTTATTAAAGACATTTTTATGTATAACGTTCTTTTTATAGATACAAGTATTTAAATAAATGCTCTGTTTATAATAAACAGCATTAAATAATATTTACCGGCCTGAATGTCCGAGAAATTTTCATAGAAAATATTCGTCCTTTGACAGGATTCGAACCTGCATCCTATACGGAACCGTCATTTGACCGCTCGGTCAAGGCACGTCAGCGTAAATATATATATCTTTGTCTTAAAATAATTGTCCATTTCTTAATGTCTGACGTCATTTCTTTACATTTGATACGCCATGAGCAGATATGAATGTACGTGATAGGTTCATAGAAGATTGAAGTTCAAATACAGTAAATTCGACCTTGCTAACCGAACGCTCCTCTGTGGCCAAATCGGTTAAAGGCACGTCAAGCTAAATGACGGTTCCGTATAGGATACAGGTTCGAATACTGTCGGAGGACGAATATTTTCTGTCAAAATTTTTCGTACATTCAGCCTGGTAAATGTTGTTTAATAGTGTTTATCATAAACAGAGCATTTACTTAAATATTCGTATTATAAACAGAGCATTTACGTAAATATTCGTATCTACAAAAAGAATATAAAACATAAAAATGTCTTAATATATATATATATATATATATATATATAGTAATAAAGACCTTCAGATATTGGAGGCTATCTACATTAAAACAAAGCAACCCACACTCAACAAAATTACATTTCAAACTAGTCACAACAGATTACATTGCATCTAGACATATAGTCCTGTTGTTAATATTTCGGTAAATGGGCACGAAAAAATATGGCGGTTCCATGAATTTACGATCTACGTTAATTTTTCGGTGACTGTTATCGAAAATAGAATTCTTCTATGTCGACATAACAGAATATTATCTTTGATGGTGAATATACTATTTACTTAAATATATAACCATTAAAAAGGTCGTAATTATTTGAGCCAAAAACTTAGTCTATACGGAAAAATATTAATAAAAAAATATGCAAATGTTAATTAATTTTTGTTTGGTTTAATATTTGAAATTAAAGGACATATCTAATATGATTTAGAACGGCTCATGATCAAACATAACAGACATTCGTTTGTCATTTAACAATATATATTTGAATATAGTATATATATATATATATATATATATATATATATATAAACATATATTTTATATATATATATATATATATATATATATATATATATATATATATATATATATATATATATATATTAATATTAATAAAATACCTTCTTATATATATATATATATATATATATATATATATATATATATATATAATATATTCATATTTTCATATATTGAAATATTAATATATATATATATATATATATATATATATATATATATATATATATTCATAAATCAAATACTCACATGCATGAACACATATCACATGCCTTGCATTATCTGCAGTTCACGAAAAAAAAAAAAATATATATACACACATATATATATATATATATATATATATATATATATATATATATTTACAAAACAGGAAACAACTATGTAAAAAATTGTTTTCAACACAACAGATGTCAGGAATATGTTTATATATATATATGTGTATACTGGACATGTCTTATGCAATAAGACATTTGTATGTATGTTTATATATAAATGGTGGGAAGTGTGTATGAATAATTTTATGTATGTGGATTTGTATAAATTTGTTTATAATTTCTCTTAACAGTATATTTAATATCACGCAATAATAACGCATAAATGATAGAAACAACAAAAACCGTTGAAAATAAATCTAAGAACACACACCTTCATTTTAAAACATTCTTAAAAATAATAAAACGCAATAAAATAAATAAAGTGTTAATATTCAATTCATCATTTCTCTTGGACCAACCTTGATCTTGTTTTATGACCCTTCGCGCAGAACACTTCACTGCCAATTCAAAAAGACGGGTTTTTACCAACAAAAAACAGAGAATTCTCATATCGAGAATATTTAAAATTGAAAAAACATAAAGGAAAAAATTAATTTTTTTTTTAATAATGGAAATCTTACTGCCTTTACCTGATGACGGTCTGTAGACCAGAAACACGTTTTTGAGATAAAAATTAATTATTATAAAACAAAAAACGTTTGCGGCATCTCCAGCTATACTTTTTATATATACATATATATATATATATTTTTGACAATACAAAATATTACCTTTTATATATATATATATATGATTATATATATATATATAGATAGATAGATACAATAGATAAATAAATAGATAGATATTTCTTTCTCCAAAGTAAAGTATTATATTTAATATGGTACTATTGAACTTTCCCGAGTCAAATGCTCAAAATTCAAGAGAATGGGTTAATTTATAATAAAAAAATCTACCTTAATTTAAAAAAAAAATATTTAAGTTCGACATTTCAACCACCTGATTAATAATATGGAAAAAAATGCAAACGGCAGAAACATTGTGATAAATATGTTTGTTCAAATATTTAGAAAAATGATAGTCCAATAAAATGTAATAATAGTGTATATGAGGTCTGTTATAAAAGTACAGTTTCCCCTCACGAGGATGTAAATCTCATAAGCAAAAGGTTTACCGTGGGTTTTTAGAGATGTAGGCTGACCAAAAAATTTCTGCAGAACCCGCATAAATGGCTCTTAATGTCTTATCTCCATTGACAAATCTTAATATCCTTAGTAGTTAATATTTATTTTTTATTCTAGCCTTTTCGACAGTACAAACATGCTATAGCACTTCATTCCCCGGGGTATGTTAAATTTTAAATAAGATTGCATCCGAAAGGAAAAAAAGATTTAAAATCAAAAACAATTATATGGAAAAAAAAAAAAATATTTTATATATATATAAATGAAATTGGTAATATAAAGATTTTTTAAAAAAGCCAAATTATTATTATTAATTTAGATTTATATTTACTAAATTCTAAAATAGAAAATGTCGTGTTCAAAGTCAGATGAAAATAAATCTTTTTTTTCTTTCAAATTTTTTTCAGATTTAAGACTATCGTCTCTTCGGATATATCAAAAACGTCCAACAGATTAAAAAAATCTTGGCAAAAGCAGAAAAATTGAATCATAGGTCGATACTAACGAGGTTTTCCGTTTTATTGTTTTTTTTTTTTGTCTTTTTTTTTGTTTTTTTTTTGTTGTTTTGTTTTTCACAGTTCAGGCAGCCGATGCCATAGCCAACTTCTGGCGAAGATGGACAATGCTTCAAAGACAAACGGCATCAAGCCAAATATTCTCAAAGAGTAAAGGTTTTTTTTTTTTCGAGTTGAGAACGAAATCAAATTAATATCCTGAACGCATTTAAAAAAAGACCAACAAACTAGTTTCGCTGGTCACCACAACTGCAACAAACTCGATGGTCACTATCATGCCAAAAACTATTGAAAAGTGCGTTAAACTAGTTGAATAATATATTTGATGCGTGACGCCATAAACAATTTTTTAAGACAATTCAATTGGTTTACCGGTTATTTCAAATCTGTACTTCTAAACTTCTCGACCAAAATTCTGAAATTTTAATTCCTATTTATTTACTTTTGTTTCCTCAATAAAAGCAGATAGCTTTGCTTATCTTGGTTCATTTCATCCTCCCATATTTTTTGAACGGAAGATTGTTTCCTGT